ATTGAGTGTCTGTGTGAACCAGGGTTTATAGGGTTTTGGGTATCCTATTTGTTCCTAGAGATTAACCTTTCGTTCCTCGAGGATACTGGACCAGGGAGTCCTTACGTGAGAACTCTTCAGAGATCTACATTCTAGATACTTGAAAGAATTTTGGTAATGCAGGACCTTTTTGAACATTATTCCACGCGAGACAACATCATTAGGCCTTCTAGGGAAGCTGGGTTTTCTCAGGGGTCTACATTTCTTGCAACCTGTTCCTCCCAAGAGGCTTCCATCTCACGAGAACTTGGAAAGCACCACGAAACTCCATCGCAACCTGCACAAACCCTACAAAAACTTGCACAAGCCCCTAAAGCCATAAATTCCAAACCCCAAACCCTAAGAAACCCCTGCATAGAGGTCTGGGTCACTAGTACTCATGTCCCCTGACCGTCCCTATTCTTCAACAAACATACCCTCCAACCCTATTCTACTGATTACCCATAGGCCCCATAGTAGATCCTTTTAGGGGTTCATAATTAGAATTCCTTTAGGTAATCCCAGAAAGGAACTACTATGGGGCCTATGATTAAGGCCTCACGTTGCAAGCACGCACAAAGCCTTGCATCACTCCCAAACCCTAAATGCTAAACCCTGAACCCTAAACGTTTTGGGTTCAGGATTTGGGGTTTAGGGTTCAGGGTTTAGGGTTCAGGGTTTAGGGGTTAGGGCTTAGGATTTAGAGCTAAACCCTAAACCCCAAACGCCGCTAAAACCCTAAACCTTAAACCCAAACCGCTTGTTTCCACCATGTGAATCCTATCCTCAACGGGTAATTGTATATAGTCCCTTGATGCATCTATACACTTATGCTATAGTATACCCCTCCAAAGCGTGTTCTAATTGTTACGGCTTCCATATGAAGTTCTCCTTAATGCGCTAAAAGCTTTAAACCTTATACAAGCTTTGTGGGGGTTTCCGAAGGGGACTCTAATATAGTACCCTAAATAATAGGATCCCTATTACAAGGACCCCCAAATAAGGTACCCTAGTTTTCTGAAATGCCCTAAAAGCTTTAAACCCTAAACCCTAAACCCTAAACCCTAAACCCCTAAACCCTAAACCCTAATACAAGCTTTGTAGTTCCGAGACTGCCAGGAGAAAGCCTTGGCGACCTACATCGCAAACAAGAGCACACAAATCTACAACTTTGCCAACGAGGCAGGGTCGGGGGGCCCTCAAGGGAACCCTCAAAGGCACCCTTAAAGGGACCCTTAACGGAACTTTGAAGGAATCCCTTAAAGAAGGTGCCCTTGAAGGTTTTGGTCCTTCTTGCTGCTCAGGATTTAGGGTTTAGGGGTTTTAGGTTTTAGGGTTTAGGGTTTAAGGTTTTAAACCCTAAACCCTAAACCATTTTTGGGTTTAAGGAAGGACTTTCCCAGACCGTTAAGAGGCTCTGGAGGCTGGAATGCTAGCAAAGAAAATTGAGGAATCCGTAATACGATTTTACAGGGTTCCTCATTATAAGTTACTGGACCAAACAAATTAGGGTCCCTTTTAGGGTCCTGTTTATCCCTTTTGGGGTTTAGGGCTTAGGATTTAGGGTTTGGGGTTTAGGGTAGTTCTCTAAATTAGTGTCCGTTCTTAGGGTCCTTTTAATAAGAGTGACGTACTATCAGAGGGACCTGAAAAGGGACCCTAGTTTGGAGAGCTACCCATGTACCCCAAAGCTCTATTCTTGTTCTTAAGGCCCCACCACAAGTAGTATGCTTCTCATGCGTACTTGATAAGAACCCTCTCGATCTCATGTCTGGATGCTGCCACGGCTCTGGGACAGTATTGGGTTTGGAGTAGAGTAGAGGATAATATATATATATATATGTATGTATGTATGTATGTATGTATGTATATATATATATGTAGCTTATAGTATACGTATCGTGTACTACAGTAGGTTTACGGTTCAGGGCTTGCACAACCATGACCATGACAATCCTTGCACAAACGGCGACCAGCATGATTGGCAAAACTCTTCTGGAATCTGCTTGAAACTGTTATATGGTCATGTGATAGTATGTGCTTGCTATATCAACGATGTCCATGGGTCTTTTCGGGCTGCTAAACCTACTATAGACGCCTTCATGATTAGACTAGGATTTCTGTATATTTATAGGGTTCTAGAAGGTCATGCGACATTACATATAGTACATCATATTTTATGTCGTCCAGAAGTGCACGAAGAGCTCGATCGGAAGAGCTGCAATCATGATGCAGGGGCCTGAATGACCTTAACGATGGCGCTGCATTGACGGGCATACGGCATACTATAGTACAGTTCCGGAGGAAGTTTAAGGGTGTGACTTTGGCAGCAACACAGCAGCCAGAAGCAGAGGAGTATCTTCGAACCAGGAGGGACAGTTAAGGCTTTAGGTGGAACACTTCAGGGTTTAGGGTCCAGCATGACAGTAGCACAATCTGCCAGCAGCAGCATGATAGGACAAGACAGCGAAGGGTGGGGTGGGACAGGGTTTTCACTGCACAGGTCTCGCCAGACTCATGCGGCCTGGTCTTTGGCCAACATATATACATTACTTGCGAAGGCTGCAGCCTCCTCTGGGTCCAATCGCTTGATCCCTCGACCGGGACACCCCGTGACAGAGTTTGTACTCGTAGGTCCATGGGTTGGCGGTACTACAAGGTTTATCTTGGGTTAAGGAACAAACCCACCATACAGGTACCTTGGCCGCTCGCTTAAGATTTGGTTTTGGATCCTTAGGCATTTCTTGTTGAACATCTTGCCCATGCAATTGCAGTTGCAACAACCAACTGACAGCGCTGCAACCATCCCGTCGTTTCTACAGCATGAACCAAATCCTTCGGATCGGTCGCATCAACCTGTGATGCTTGCGAGGAATTGTGGAGGATTCTTCAGCATAGGCCCAGCTTGTGGGCAGCTGTTGCTTACAAGTAACAATCATTGCGCACCCAGGCTTGTCGTATCGAGCCCAGAGTAAGCGTTTATTGGGAATCGTTTTTGGCGGTCTGAAACTCGTGTTGCTAAGACACCAATCGTGGCCAATGCAATCCATTCTTGTTCTTTACGTTAGCTACGACACGTTGCGGGCGGGATCTCTGAATGCGCAGAGCTCTTGCTGGTATTCTGTGAGAAGGCCTTGCCTGTGCAGGTTGAATGCAGTCGCCTGTAACCTCATCTTGATTCCCGACCCGTCATTGCATCGTTGCGTCAAAAGAAGACTGATGCACCATGTTTTCGCAGCAGGTTGTCACGTGTAGCATTGTGGCACTGCCGAAGAAGCTGGACATGTAGATTGGGCAAACCGAACAACACCTCAAGCTTAGCGGCAGTCGGTGACGGGCAGCATCCACATTGATGCATATACAGATACACACGCATGTATGTGTGTATGTGCATATTTTGCACACGGTGCGGCCTTTTTTTCTCTCGACTTCAAAAGACTGCCGGTTTATGCTGAGAGTTGAGGGCAGTTTACAATTTGGGGCTTGGGACTAAGTGTAGAGTCACTACCCTCGACAAGATGGAGTTAAAACGAGTAACTAATTACGACAAGTTTAAATGTACCCGAAACCCTTATCCCCGAAGCACCAGGCCCCAACAGCGAAAGGACCCACCCCCAATCGACCTTGACATGTTGAAGCCCTTACAGTTTCACCCAACGTCCTCCGTTTTTCATTCGCGTCTCCTCCGTGCACACTGTGCCGAGATTTTCGTCCGACAGTACTTGGTCCTGTTCAACAACGAGGAACCGCGGTTGGGTTCAGGGCCCTAAGCCCAAGCAGAGCATGACACCTTTCCCTTGATTTTAATGTCTGGGGAGTTCTCGGAGGCTTCAGGGTTCTTAAGGGTATATTACAATTACCTTAAAAACCCAAAACCTACTTTTTGTAGGTTCTTATTATAGACCCTGATATGGGATTTATAGGGACCCTACAAAGAAGTAGGTTTTGGGTTCTTAAGGTATGCTACAATCAGGTTTAAACGAGGATTAGTGAGCGCGGCCCTGTTTCACAAACCGACGGGCGACCCTTAGCCTTTCATCCTGCGTAATTACAATCAGCACACCGTGACTACAATAGTATCGCGATCCCAAATCTTGTTTTACTGGGCTGGGGAGTTACATCTTCGAGCAGCTTCGAGCAGAAAATTTGCATGCGTCACGTTTCATCTGAGGATCAAAATTGGAGTGTGCTGGAAGTCACGGATAGGGCCCTGAAATGTCTAAGCCCGCCCCCTTGACCTGAAACCCCAAGCCCATTAAACCGTATTATCCTCAACTGCAGAGCCGTGGAAGTCGCCAGAGAGCCTCCGTACCCGTTAGTCAAGGACTACTATAAAACTCACAGTGTAGTTCTTTTCATGATAGAAGTTGAAGTTTTTGTTTATGCACTACGGAGTCTTCCTTAGCTAAGTTGTGAATTGGGCTCGTTAAGTTGCCCCCAGCCCCACTGTGATCGTCTAACTCTTACATAGCCCGACAGCCTGAACCCAAATCCTCAAGGCTTCAAGTCTCAATCCAGTGCCCGGGGCACGAAACTGAGAGCTTCAGCACACAAGGAATCCCCCGAATGGGATTGAAATTGAAGGTGTATGGTTGAGGTATCCTGATTGTAGGGTGATTTCCGCGACGGCCCTATCTGTGGGCTGTCTGGGTGCCCTGAGGAAAACTTGAAGAATGCCGTGGAGAGGTTCGAGGCCATGAATCCCTGAGGCAGGACCATAGCATCTAACCATTAGAGTCTAACCGTCTAACGTGTCCGTACAACTTTCAAACAAGGCGACCGGCGCCTTATCACCAGGAGGGGCATAGAGTTCGGCATGGGCATAAAATCGATTCATGTTCTGGCCTTTGTCTATGGGGCGTGGTGCTTTGAAGAATCTCAACACTGAAAACCTTTTGTTATGCGAATTCTTCACTGCAGCCTTGTAAACCCCATTTAAAACTTTTGTCAATTCTTTTGAAAACCGTATGAAGCCCTCGCAAGGGACTTGTGGAATTTCGATACCCTAAACCCTAAGCATCTCCAGCTGCTTGTTGCTTTGTACTGACTTCTTGGGTCCTGAGGCGTTTCGCTTTGTTTTTTGAGTGTTCCTTATGATGTTTGTGCGGCTTCGATGAGATTTCTCTCAGGATGCCTCAGGTTGCTGGCTTTTTGGGTGTTAGGTTTTCTTTGGGTTTAGGGCAGTGTGCTCCTCAGCTTGTAACGACAACCTCCCAGCTTAACAACATCTCGGGGGGCCCTTGCTCAGGGACCCGTAGAATACGGATCCCATGATGATTGGGGCTTGTATTGGGCCCCTCATTTTCTGAAACTCCCATGTATTAATGTTATGTTATAAAGTTCGTCCGCTGCATCACATCGTAAAAAAAATATATAAATGAACAACTGAAGAACTGATAGTCTATACATGAACCAGAAATTCAAGTGTAAGTATAGACAGACAGATAGTCTAATGGATAGATAGATAGATAGATAGATAGATAAGTAGATAGATAGCCAGATAGATAGACAGATAAACAGATAAGTAGACAGGTATGCAGGCAGGTAGGTTGATAGATCGATAGCTAGACATGGTGTCATTCGGACGGACAGACAGACAGCCAGCCAGCCAGCCAGACAGACAGACAGACAGACAGACAGACAGACAGACATACATATATATATATATATGGAAGATAGAGAGGGAGCTCGGTTTTACACATGTACGAACTTTACGGAAAAAGGCTGAGA